TCCATTACACTTTAACTCTAAAAATCTTTCAAAAAGCTTCAAACTTTTGAATATCTAAGGTAGATTGCAACCAGGAAAGTAAATTGGGGCTTAAGATTGAACATAGAAGCAGCTTGGAAGTTTTGCGAGAGAGAAAGGTGTACGTGACTAAATTTTGCACCAAGTTTGCACCTAGGGTATATTAAGCTTACGCAAGGTAATCGTAAGTTGTAGTTGGTTAATGATGGGGCTATGCTGAAAATGTGGGAGTGGAATGAAGGGAAGGATGAAATTGAAGTGTTCATATAGGAGACAGAAACACCATCTTTTGTGTTTCAGTCTACTGAAGCTAGTTGGGCAAAAAGGTTAAAGGACCAGGCTGAAATGATTAGGATGAGGGAGGAAGAGAATAGGAGAGAGGCAGAGCACGCAGAAGCCGAGGAGCAGCTTAAGGCCCAGCAGCAATTTACTGTGGTTGTTGAGGTCCCAGTTGTGATTGCAGAGGATGTTGGGGTTGAATATGTTAGGGTATTTAACACCCCTGTTGTTGATGAGGTATTTCCGGGGCAATCACAACCTCAACCCTCACAAAAAGAATCACCTCAACCCACACAGCATTCAACACCACCAACGAAAACTCCAAGAAGGAAACAACTGACTCCCAAAAAGAAAAAAACATAACCAACACATCCCACTGCACCCAGCCAGCCTACACAGCCCACTCAACCAAGACAGCCTACACCACCACCACCAAATGCTAACCAGGATCCTTCTCCACCACCAACACCAACACATCATGCTTCTCCAAACAACCCACACATGCATAGATCACCACCTCAACACAATCACCCTACACCACCAACATCACCTGCACCCAGGCAACCAACCCCACCTCATGAACCTTCAAACCCATCTAGGTAGGCTAAGGGTTCTTCAAGTTTTGCTGGCAAGCCTAAAGAGCAAACTAGAATTTAACCCAAAGAGTGGAGGGTGCCTAGAAGCACGACAAAGAAGTATGGAGGTGTTGTTGGGAAATACAAAGGAGAGAGTGGCATTGGAGCTGGTAGGCAAGTGAATACAAGGAGCAAAAAACCAACGCCTATTGAGGATAGTGATGAAGAATCTTATGCATGGCGTTCTGATGAAAGTGAAGATAATGACTATGAAGCTTCTGAGGTTGAGGATGATCTGGATATGCAGTTGAACTTTGAAGATGATTATTACATTATCCCTGAGAAAACCCTTAAAGATTACTTAGATTGGTCCCATGTTTTAGACAAACTGTACAAAAATGGCAAAGTCTGGTCTCACTTACCATTTGGGTCCATTAAACTTGAACCATTTGAAAACAAAATAGAGTTTCTTGAGGTGTTAAGAGATTACTACATACAAGAAGGGTTTGCAGTGTCGGTTGACTATGTTGACAATCATATATACACAGCAAGATGGCTTGATTGGTGATTGCAACTAGAGGATTTATGCAACTGTCCTTATTAATAATGTTAGCTGGGTTATAAAGAAGCTAGAAGGAGAACATAGAACTTGTGGGAGGATTGAAGAGAATCCTATTGTCTCTTTAGCATGGCTTTTTGCAGACATTTGTTGCAAGACTTGGAGGCAAACCCAGAGATTCCAGTTCAGTAGTTGCATAGAGTGTGCATGGAAAGATACAAGATCAATGTTGAGCTAAGACGATTGTACTACAAAGTGAAGGCATTATCTAGAGAGCAAATACATGGTGGTTTTGCTCAGTCTTATGCACTACTACCAAAGTATGCAGAGATGATTATGGCCACAAATCTTGGGTCATATGCTCTTAATTCATGAACTGACAATGTGGATCAGGGTTCAAAATTTAAGGCTTGTTTCATATCTTTTGCAGCTCAGGTGAAAGGATTCTTGAGGGGCTGTAGACCCATCATAGGAATAGATGGTGCACACCTCAGTGGTTATTACAAAGGGATTATGCTAACTGTAGTTGTAATTGATGGGAATAATGAAATTTTTGTCATAGCCTACAGTCTTGTTGACACAGAAAGCATAGATAGCTAGACTTATTCCTTTAGAAACCTCAGGATCTTATTTGGTCAATATGGATGTCAGAAGGATGGCTAGACATTCATGTGATAGGATGAGGGTAAGGTACTTCATTTTTCTAATTACGTATCTGTTATCATTACAACACTAACTAACTTGAGCATGGTTTTTGAAGGGTGTTGAATCAGCTCTGTTTAAGGTGTTTCCCAAAGCAACTAGGAGAGTTTGCTGCCAGCATTTCTACTCAAATTGCAAGAATGCAGGATGGAATGGGACAACTTTTCATAAGCTATTTTGGATAGCAGCAAATGCATATAATGAATATGTCTTTAAAAAGCAATGTCCAAGATTAAGGAGTATGGTGCAGCAGCAGAACAGTATATCAAAGATGTGGAGGAGCAATGGTCAAGGCATAAATTTGAAAGAACAGTTTGTTGTGATTATAACACAACAAACTTTGTTGAGTCATTCAATGCATGCACAAAGCCCAACAGAGATATGCGTGTCCTCACATTATTGGAAGGTAATATGTTGTACTTAATGTTTTCAACATAATGGATGCATATGGTTATTTCATAACAAAGTGTCCTGATATTATTTGTGGTATGTTTGTTGTAATTTTTTTTTTTTTTTTGGACTTAATCAACTGTAAGAAATTGGTGCATGAAAAGAATAGGTATTAGGTTTGATAATGCAATTGACATGGCACCTACTAAGCTCACAAAGTTTGCTAAAAGGGTTTTAGAGACAAGGAGTGATAAGTCTAGGTTCTGTCATGTGACAGCTTGTGGAGGTGGAGAGTATGAAGCCAGGGACATGTCAAGTTCCCTGTCACACTAGGGAATATGAGCTGTGGGTGTGGGAAATGGAAAGGATCAAGGATACCTAGCAAGCATGGTCTAAGGGTGATTCACAGCCAAAGACTTGAACCCAGGGATTTTGTGTCAGCATACTTCAAGAGGGCTGCATATAAGATGACTTATGCATACCACATCCATCCCAACGCTAATCCAACTCAGGAAGCTACAAAATAGGCAGAAAATGCAGCCAACACTTCAAAGCAAGCTAAAGGAAGGGGGAGGAAGAGAAAGGCTGACAGCCAAGGTCCATGATGATGTCGTTCATGATGTGTAATTTTTTGGTGAAATTTTGTTCAACTTAAGTGTTAAATGCTTGGTTGTTTTGGCTAAACCATGTTTTTGACATTTCCACGATATGTAATACAAATTGCATAATTATTTAGCCATAATATTTTGACATCCCACACTATGTTATTGCAAATTCATTTAGCAATGATATTTTTTTTACATGAATCATTTCAAGACTACAAATACAATCAACATAAACATAACTACTCCTATTTTAATTGCTGCATCTAATATTTTTTGCTGCTTCACTACTCTTCTCTTGAGCTCAATTCTTGCTTCAACATGATCTCATCTCCATGACATTGTGTATCTATGCCTCCCCTACTTTGAAATTCATAACCCGAAACAACATTTTGCTCGGAATTACTCTTGCACCATCTGAATTTCACACATACATTACACTTATTGATTAGGGGATTTTTCCCTACCAATCATCATCTGACAAGTGGACCAGTCAGGCCCTGCCATGTGTCCACCACATGGGCCAATAGAAGCCTGCCACGTGTTAGGCATTGATCCGTCCACCATGGACCAGTTGAGTCACGCCATGTGGCCTCCGTATGTCAAACAGGACACCTAGGCCCAATTTCCAAGGGAAGCCCAGTCAGCCCTAGGTTAACCTAAACCTAGTATTTGACACGTTTCCCAAGGTTATAAATACTCTAATTAATCCTCATTAAGGGGCATTCAGTAATTAATGACTCTCACATAGAGAAAACCTAAACACATTGATCACTCCTCCCCTAGAGGAACCTGATCTCCCAACCTTTACTTTTTAGCATTTATTACTCCACAAACAAGTACTAACTTGACCTTCGGAGGCGGAACTCCCACCACAAGGAGTCTCCGTTGTTTTGCAGGTATAGGCGCACGGATACCAGTCTCGGAATTGTAACTCTCCCGTAGGACATCAAAAAACCCCGAAACACTTACAGCACAACCTTTGTAGATTTTTTGCCGAATCAGAGCTCCTTATTGCAAATTTCCTCCCACATGAACAAGCTTTGTTTGGCACTCTTATGTATGCATATTTGTAGGATGACGATGATGATTTCGAGTGTGTCAACATCTTTACAAATGCTTTTAGAAGTGTGAATTGCCGCTTCAATCCCTCAAGCACTATGTTTTTATACATAAACTAGCTATTACAACTGTCAACGACTAGTTTTTTGTAAAAATAAAATAGTCGTTGCAATTTTAGCTTATATGGTGAAATAACTTTTAAATTAATGGTATATGGTGAAATAACTTTATGAACCTAGGTATATGGTGAATTAGTAAAATACCCTAAACGACAGACTAACGACAATTACCAAAAAAGCATTTTGTGGTATTGTACAGGAACTTAGTGGTTTATGGTGAATTTTAAACTTTTTGGTGGTATATGATGAATTAAGCTAAAACTTAGTGGTATATGGTGAAAAAGCTGTATTTTTAAAGCTACTGGTATTTATTAGGGGTGTCGACCATTACTTGGATAATAACAAAAATTCAGTCCGATTAAAAAAGAATTGATGATTTGGATTTTTTTTTTGTAATAAATATTTGGATTTGAAAAGATTGAAATTTTTATGAAAAATTGAATTTTCGGATTAGAATGGATTAAAAGGGTTAGATCTATCCATTAAACAAATTAAAATTTCTGAAAAGTCTAAATTTAGTGTTAAACAAATTGAATCTAATCTATAATATATACAAAAGTCCCAAGCACCAAATTTACTGTTCACTTAGCAATAGTGACGTTCCTTTTCCACCCTTAGCCCCCTAAACTGGACCCCCAAAATCACCAGGGTTAGCTTTGTCTTTTCATTTCTCCCATTTTTTTTTTTGGGGGGGGGGGGGAAGGGGTTAGTTTTGTCTGAACTTCCAGTTTGGCGTGATGTGTCTTCTTCTCCTTTTCTTTTACCTTGTTAGTTATGAGTGCTTTGCATGACTGGTATTAATCTTTCCTTCATTTTTTCCTTTTCCTCCTTCTAATGTCGTAACATTTTGTGGCAGAGTTTTCTCCAGCCATGGTGATGCCGGAGGAAATTGATCGGCGGCTGATGCTGCTGGTGCCGCGGCGGTCCTGGCCATGTAAACAATTGTTTTAAGCTGCGACATTGATTAAAATGGGAAAAATTGAAGAAAATCAAAACCCTTAAAATTGACATTCGACTATTACACAAAGAAAACATTTGTACCTCAAAAAGTCGTTTCAATGGAAGGTAGATAGAAATCAGAAGCCGCTTCAATGGAGATGTGTCCTGGTTCTTTAGGGTAAATTGTTCGATGGCGTGGCAGTATTGGGCTTGGGTTGTGGCTGCATTGCAGTTGTGGTTTGCAGATTTTAAGGTTTGTTGTTTTCCGGTTCGGTTTTGCTTCGTAATTGATTGTTGTTTGGTTTATTAAGTTTGTAATAGTGTGATTAGAGATCTGTTTGATTAGGGGATTTGGTTTTTTGATGCAATTTAGGCTTGAATTGGATTGGATTTGTTTCGAAAATATACCTAGATTTGATTATATTAGCTTATTAAACATTGTGGTGATTATTAAATGATGGTTTCGTTGCTATTATTGTTTGCTGATTGTTTTACGCAAGAAATGTTGTGCTGTTTATCTTGGTGTAATTAAAATAGAAGATTATTAGTAGTTGTTGATTGTTAAAGGCTGGTTTGGGAGTTAAATTAGCTGATTATTAGTAGTTTTGATTGTTAAAGGCTATTTTGGGAGTTATTACTGTTAGTGACTGGTTTTTGAACAGTGAATGTAATGGTTTGTTTATAGAATTTGTACTTTAATTGTGATTTTTTGTTTTTAGATTGCTTAGGAAATGTACTTCACTGCATATTTTATTTGTTATATTTTATTGTTAAAAAGATTGTCCTTTCATTTTTACCTCCTTTTGAGTATATATCATATGAGACCACATCTCTAATGTGAGAACCCGGTTATGCGAGGACATATTACAACCATTGGATCAATTGCATCCAATGGTCACCATTTATCCCGGTCAAATATAATTTCAAAAAAATAAAAAGATAAAGCGTTTTCTCTCTCCTCCTTCATTTTGCAAATTATTTTCTCTCTCCTCCATCACCATTGCTAAATTTCCCTCAATTGCAGCTATTCTCTCTCATCTCCCTTTGGATTTCTAGCAAAACCTACGATTCTCCCTTTCTTTCTCTCAAAACCCTAAAATCAATCGGCGATCAATGCATTAAAGATCAGGTAATCTGTCTTGTGGTTTCCGCTCATGTATTTGGTCTTGTGTATGGTGAAGGTGGTGCTAATTTGTCTCGTCTGAAACAGGTAATCAATTCCTAATCATTGATCTTGATGTTTTTGCTAATCAATTTCTACTGAAGGTTTCTTGAGTAAATTTCTTTAAATTCCCAGCATTTTGCTAATTTTGGATTCTAGTATGAAGTGATGATTGAGTTGAAAGATGTTTGTAGAATTCAATTGAGATTGGAATGGTAAATTAGGAGTGGAAATGAGTTCACAGTCGCAGAGGCGATTGGTGACTACTCGTGACTTGGTTGAAGAAACTAAGAAGTGAATTGTTATTCTTTCGATATGTGTTGTCGGTCTTTCTTACCTCATGTCCTGTAAGTTCACTCAATCTTTGCTATTAAATTTTTTTTTTCGCTTTCAATTAGCTTCTACTGATTTTTGTTTGCTTCAGTTTGTTGAGTAATTGTGAAAGGAATGGTGTCCTTCCAACAAGTGTATTATTCCAATAAAGGGTTCAGAATTATTAGAAAGCTAATCCTTCAGTGAGATCAAGTGATCGGAATGCCTAAGTGGAGGCCGCTTTCGATCAATAATATTAATGTATAATTAATATTAGGCTTAATCTTGACTGAACCCTTCAGGTCGCACCCCTACCAAATAACCGATCTGAAACGACGAATCAATCCGAAGGATTAGATGAGTCATTAGAGTATTACGAACAAAGACATCGGATGTCGAGCTTAAAAAGTCGAAACCGAGCGTCGCAAGTCGAGTCGAGTTTAGAATTTGTCGAGACGAGAAATCAAGCAAGCGACAAGTTAGAGTTAAGTCGTAGCCTCGCACTTGCCTAGCAATGCGAGTGCTAGGCTAGCTTAAGCTACCATGCGCATCGCAAGCCATACCGCAAGCCTAGCATGCATTGCGTGTAGGGCTGGCAAACCCTGACCCGACACGAAAACCCGACCCGAACCCGACCCGAAGTTACTGAGAGAGACCCGAACCCGACCTGAACCGAACCCGAACAACCCGAATTCGACCCGATTTGACCCAAATTTCATATTTCGTAATAATATTAAGTTTTACACTATTTTTAATAGTTTCTAAGCATAACCCGAAATCGACCCGAAATCTGACCCGAACCCGACCTGCTGACCCGAATTGCCACCCCTAATTGCGTGCTAGGCCAACCATGCTAGCAAGGCTGGTGCACGAGGCCGCAAGCATGCTAGTAGCTAGTGCATGCTAGCGTGCTAGTGTGATGGGCCACGGACCTAGCCGCAAGCATGTATCGCATAGCACTCGCACAGCAGCTCGATATGCATGCTTGTGCTATTGGATGTGCATGTTGGGCATCGCATAGCAGCATCGCTCTCGCTAGCATGAGCATCGCAGCAGCGTCCTAGGCATGCTAGGCTGCGCGTGCATGCTAGCGTAGCAGCACCAAGCACCACGCCACTCGCATAGCAAGCACGCACCAAGCAGCAACAACAGCATCGCATGTGTGTGCGCTGGCTGGCTGTGTGCTGGCTGGCTACGCATGTGCTGTGTGCTGGCTGGTTGGGCTGCCCAGCCTTGGTGCTAGGTGCTAGCTGGCATCCTTGGCAGCCAAGGCAGGCTGCCAGCCAGCCAAGTGGCGAGGTGTGTGCGGTTTTGTGTGGGGATCAAAATTGAGGGGTTGCTTGGTGAGCAAGGGGATTTGGTCCCCCCCCCCCCTTGAATGGTCCTCACCTACTCTCTCCCTCCATGTGACACTTTGAGCTTGTTGATTGATCTTGCATTTTTTTTATTAAAATAAAATTGAGGAAAATGCAAATCTCCCACATTGATGGGAGAATTGAGATCAAGTCTCCCATTCCCTATAAATACCCAAGTTTTGGGTTTGGGAAAAACCACTTGAGTTGAACTCAATAAGGCATCTCATCATTAGTGAGAAAACCTTTAAGTTCGTAATACTCTAGTTTTATTTGGTCAAGTCCTGACTAACCTTTGGGATTAAGACTGTTTGGGTCGGGTCGAGGGTGCGAGCCGTCGGAGGCCTACGCACTTACGTGGCTCGAGCTTTGAAGTAAGAGCTCGTGAATCGAGCGAAGCACGCGTCGAGGGTAAGAATGTATTTTCTCTTTCTCTCTCTTATGTTGTTAATTATGTGATTACATGTTTAGTTTCTTTAATTAGTGGGCGGGTCTTGGGCGGGTTTCTCTTCCGCGTAGCGTTGGATGCTCGAAACCCAACAAATTGTCGCTTTTAATGATATTCTATGTTTTACTTGTGTGTTGGGAGTTTGGGACACTGCCGTGATTGTAATTCGTTTCGAGTTTAGGATTATACTGCTTATACTTCGTGCATTTTATGTATTATTGCCTTTTACACTATGTTTCGATAAAGAGAATTGGAGGGAAAGGAAGAGAAGAGAAAAAGAATGATACACAATCCTTTGTTTGGATACTTAATGGAGGGAAGAGGAGGGAATTGGAAGGATCTATTATCCTTCCCCTTTAATAAACTGAATCCCTCCATTGTTGGAGAGATTTGGAAGGAAAACGAAAGAGGAATTGAATGCAATTGTGAGTTATTGCATTGGTGATCAAATTTGACAAGTAATATGGGAATAGTGCATATTTTGTGATACGATGGAAAGATAAACAGCTAATTCTCTCTTTATTTCTTTTCTACGGGATACAAGGTTCCTAAGACGTCGTCGTAGAAACGCCAACTGATACCAGCGAGGAGTATTCCTAGGAGTATTTGATGAACATGAAAAGGAACCATTATTACTTGCCATTACGAATTTACAGAGAAAAATCAACAAGGAAACACTTTCAATACAAAAATGAAAGTCAAAAGAACACTAAAGAATATAAAAAGCTAACACTAATAAAGAATAAGAAAATTTACATTTTATAGACTAACCAGTAATGCAACAACCAATCATATTCTTGGCAAAATATAAGTGCATTTCATTCTTTATTGGTGTACCATTTTTTGTATAACCTTGTATCCTTTCCTGAATAACCTTTTCAAATAATAATAATTAGTTTAAATTAACAAGCTATGACAATCTAAAGTTAAACATTTTATATGATACTATTTTCAATAGATAAAATTCTACATTACCAACATGATATGTATATTCATAAAGTAAGGAAAGAACATCAATTGAACTTTATTGTATTTCAACATCCGAGCTAAAAATGTAAGTTTTTCAAATAGAAACTTTATAATATATGTTCTAGATTCATAATATATATATATATATATATATATATATATATATATATATATATATATATATATATGTATATATATATATATATATGTATATATATATATATATATATATAAACACCTAACTACTAAAAATTGCAATTAAAATCTTCTCGCTTCACATCACAACATTAGTAACATTTAAGCTAATACTCTACAACCAAAAATCGATCAAAAATCACAAAATTTGGGGGATCGCGCACTTTGCGTGCAGGCCCACGACTAGTAACTTAAAAAAGCAAAATAAGCTAACCTAATTGAACTATTTTAAATTTCTTTGCTAATATGTACGTAATTAAAGATTTTTGCATTATATTTAAAATTGTGCTTTGTCAAACGTGTCTAAATAAAATGTGTCAATTAATATGAAACGGAGGAGGTAATATTTTGAGATATATATATATATATATATATATGACTAAGTGGTGATCTCGTTGAGATTGAAAAATTCCTCATTCAATTTTATATTAATGTATGTGTCTCTGTTCGTTCTTAATTAGTTGAAGCGTTTTGATTTTCACGCTTTTCAATGAATTGTATTGTTAATTCTTTATACTCCATATGTCTAATTGTAGATAAATAAACAAGTATAAAAATTGGTATCAATTGTGAAAATTTAAAGTTAGACGAATTTAACAAGATCCTTAAATTAATTAGGCTATGTTTGGCTCATCATATTTTTGCTAATTATATCTAACTTGACTTGAAATTGTTTTTTCTAATCTAATTTAATCTAAATTTATTTTCTTATATTATATTATTTGGATAGATGGTTTGATTTGACTAAATTTTGACTTTATATGTACGTTAATCATAAGGAAAATAAACATCAAATGAAATTTTATTAGATTTATATTGATGAGTAATTATCAACTACGTAATTCTCATAACATTTTCATTATGTAATTAGAAATATTTAGAGATAAATCGTACCTAAAAAAGATAAAGTGAATTGAAATGATCATTTTTTATCTGAACTTTATTTTATTTTTCATTCTGGTTTGGTGTGAAATAAGTAATAAGATACTTGAATAAGATGAACTAAACATAATTTTA